CCCCAAAACCCCAAAACCCCAAAACCCCAAAACCCCTATAAGAATTCTGAGTTGGATCATAATAAAAATTAATGCTCAAATTTGACTTCGCACTGCACAAGAAGGGTAATCTTCATAGTGAAAAGAAGATCAGACTTTTTCAGCCATCGACTAATTGGAGAAGGTATTTGCACTACTACTTGATTCTTTACGACCAAGCTGCTAATAATCTCCTCAAAAAAATTTTGGAGATGTAACTGGTTTCTCTGACTTAGTCTAACCTCTTAATATAGCAATCGACACAGAAGATGCCTTATAAGCAATCTTCAAGAAGACAAGGTAAGTTTCCTCATTTTTGGGAAAGAACGTTTACTCACTTTGAAAGTTTCTTTAAAATTAATTTTTAAATAGAGAAAAAGAAGGAATTTATCAAATGGGATCTCAAAATCGATGACAGATTCAATAAAATCGGTCAGATTTCAAGACCAAAATTCGCAAAGTGACCTCAACGAAATTGTTGATGGCACTCTTAAGAAATTGTCTGAAGATTATGACTCATCACCAAAGAAGCCTCTTGACAGGAAGATGGATTTCTTTTACTCCTCATTTGATGGCAGATCACATCGGAGCTCAAACTCTTCCAATTCAACTCTTCATATAACCTCACTTGATGGCGACGAGGGAGATTGCTTTGGCTCTGCAAATGAGGGAAGAAATTGGTCCCTCATTGCTAAGAAGATCCTTGGCTCTGAAAATCAGGAGTACAACCAGTTCTTAAAGTCGGTCAACAAGAAAATGTTCCGTGAGCTCTTGCACAAAGAGCAAACCCATGGGCATATCAAGGGGGTGAAAAATCTACAAGAATTGATGGTACGCTTTCTGTTGTAAATCGTTCTAATATTTCTAGAACCCTAAGAATCCGGTGAGTCAATTACTGACTAAATTGATCTTGAAAAATAAGAAACTGACCCAATTAAGAAGAAGAGATAGGGAAGAGTCTACAGTGCATATGCCAGATATTAGGAGGTCCTCTCCTGCATGTCCGAATAAAGAGTCTATGGTAAGTGCCTTCCTCAGCATCGCTCTTAGTGTTCACCTTCTTGTCTACATGTAAGGCTCAAAACCTTGTAAGGTTTTTGGGTTGCAAATAGGTGAATTCTGAGTGATAATTTTTAACTCAGATTTTCTGACTTGTCTTTAGGATGAATATGGATGCTCAATTTCTCATATCAAAGACTTCCTACAACTTAAGAAAGCCAAGAAGAGGGGCATTTCCAAGCGCAGAAGCAGGAAATATGTCGTGAGGGGCAGGTAAGAGCTAACTTGTTTTCATACTGGTTCAGGTCAGAATATTGCAACAAAATCCTGACATGCTATGCTCGAACGTTTTACAACAGACCTTCATAAATTTCCATGAATTGTTAATGATTATTTATAAATTAACCAAGAATTTTAGGTCTCAGAATAAGATCGTGTATGAGATCAAGGGAGGATCTGTACATAGAAAAGTGCTCCAGAAGTAAGGGATTAGGTTAGTCTAATCAGATTGGCTCTCTCTCCTTGCATATTTGTAACATATAAGGTCGTATTAATTCATTTTGTGCATAGATCTATGGGGTTTTGGGGTTTTGGGGTTTTGGGG